AGAAGCAGGAACTGCTTTTAACTGTGTTAAAATTGTGCAGTCTTTCCCAGGTTAACTTTGTTGATTCAAAGCTCTAGTGGCTGTGAAAGGTGCCTATTGAAATCATAGAAACAAAACAGTTTGACAAAATACAGTCATGCCATGAAAAAGCACACAGGCATAACTTTTGTCTGACCTGTGAAAGAGACTCTCTAGCTGCCTCTCTCCTATAGAAAAATACGGAATTGGAGCAGGTTAACTGTAACACCTGTAATTTATTCTTCTGTTGCATATGAAAAGGCCAAAAGTAACTCCTTGACTTTCATGCATTAAGAAAAAGCACCAGAAAACATGTTTTTTTCCCTACTCAACTTAATCTTCATGTAGAGTACACTTTATATTCTTAAGTAACTGATGAAGGATAGCATGTCTGTAGACAGGGGAATTTTGCTTTTTTTGTTATTTTGTTTGTTTTTAATAATGCGGCTCAGGGGAGCTGTTAATGTTTAACAGGAACTAAGGAGCTTGCTAGAGTTAGAGCATTGTATTCCACATGCTGTATTGAGGGATGTGGATTGTGAGTGTGAGCCATGTCCTCCTGTCCCCTTAGGTGCCCGTGTTACCATCACAGACAGGGCGGCAGCACTGGAGTTCCTGGAGTCAAATGTGCAGGCGAACCTACCCCCTGAACTACGTCCCAGAGCAGTGGTGAAGGAGCTGACATGGGGAAAAGACCTGGATAACTTCTCTCCAGGAGCATTTGACTTAATCCTGGGTGCAGACATCGTTTATCTGGAAGAAACATTTGCAGAACTGCTTGAGACGCTGGAGCACCTGTGCTCAGAGCGAACAGTGATTCTCCTTTCCTGCCGGATCCGCTATGAGCGGGACCTCAAGTTCCTGAAGATGCTGAGAGAGCGTTTCTCTGTGTCCGAGGTCCACTACGATTCCAGTAAGGATGTTCATATCTACAAAGCACAGAGGGGTAGTCATAAGGATGACTTTTGACTCTCTGCTTTGTTAATAAGCCACTGATGCTGTTCAATTCTCCCCTTTGTTTCTACTCAATACACTTGTTCCTAAGCATGAAGTTGCAGTTGTGTTATTTCACTGGCTTCTTGTTCTGATGGTCTTGTCTGATCACTGGGTCTGATAGAGCCAGGATTGTACTTCTGTTCTGCATATTGAATCTCTGCTTCATATCTGAATTGAGTAATATATGGTGTTCCACTGTCTTTTTATCAAATGCAATTTTTGAAACTGATTCAAGTTGCAGAAGTCTCCAGCATCAAAATTGTTCTATCAAAAGGTCTGATGTCTGAAATCAAACCACATTTAACTTCTGGGGGAAACTTAAAGAGATTGCAAGGGTTTTTTTTTCCCTTTATCACTTCCTTAACTCTAGAAGAGTAGGAGAGTGGATGAAATAAAAGCTAATGCTCCAGCTCTAAATGCTTTAACTCTTCAGGACTTCTGCATCTTAGAAGTTGTGGTAAAAGAAACCACTTAAAAGGCAAAAAGAACCAAAGGCAGATGCTATAAAGTTGTTCTGTTGCTGTCACTGCTGCATTGAGGAGGCACAGTGAAACAAAGAACAAAATCTGGAGGGGCACTGGGAACAGGGATTGCCAAGTAAGCCAGCTTAGAAATCAGTGTTATTTTTACCTGATTTGCAAGTGAGTGGGCTACAGCTGCAGTACTGAAGCAGCTGTGGTTTCCGAGTTGTCCCTAACAAGTCTGCTCCTTGGAGGAGATACACATGCACATGTGCCAGTGGGAAAGTGCAACGAGGAAACTCAAGCTGTTCGTAAAATATCAAATCAGCCCTTGACTCTCAAAGTACCACTAGATAATGTTCTGCTTTGTGCCTTTGTGCTCCCTCTGGCTCTGAGAGCTGTTATTTAGGACAGGAGGGTGCTCTGTAAAGTCTTTGCAGGAGGGGAAGTACTCTTGCATTACTTGGGACCTTGGGGCAGCATCTAAGTTTCAGCGTGCTTTCAGTGGTTAAGGCACTGCTCTAAGTAACAGATTTCATACCTTGAGCTTGTAAAACACATCTGTGTGTTTATCCCACAAGATCTTGGAATCCAGCTCGCAGCAGCAGCGCTTCCTTCTCTTTCTAGTGGTGGAAGAGTGAAACTGATGAAAACAACGGGCTAACAGAAGACAGCTACACCTCTAAATGCAGGAATTGCTTTACTACTCTCTTGTTTTGTGTGGATGTGGAACATTTTTTGCTTTAAACTTAAACTCAAAAAGCCTCAGGTCAGGTTCAGACTTTAAACATGTGCATGTATTTGGCACTGGCAACAGCAAACAGTTTTGCTGAACAAAGCAGCAGCTGCTTTGGGCCATGGACATTTTGGAAGTTTTGGTCACTTTTGCTCCTGTCACACTTCCTGGTTGGCGGTCCAGAAACGCTGTGCTGACTGTAATGTGAAAATGACATATTTATCATTAAGGTTTGTGCTTCCTCCCTGGCACCTCTCTTGCGTGTTTTCAGCGAAGTTCCTTGCTTGGCTTCGGATCCGTTCTGGGAGTTGCTGCTCTGGAACACTTGCTGTAACAGTATCCTCAGAAGCCACATGGTGTCACTAAAACCGTGCTTAGGCAGCTGGCTGGGAATTCGCAGCCTGAAACTGGAATTGGAGTCAGTTTGGGGGAAGGAAGACAGCGCCTTTAATTGAAAACAATCATGAGATGAGCTCTCATGTGTCAGGTGTAGCTCCTTCTGTCCTATCAGCTGGGCGAGCAGTGGTTGAAAAGAATTATGAGCTCTCCCACCTCTGTCTGGTTCTAGTTTTCAGAGTGGCTTTAAGTTCTCACCTCTCTTCTTCTTTTCCTCCCCAAGGTGTATCCTTGTCTCCAACTCGTCTGGGATTAGGCATTAGGCTCATGTGTAGCTCAGGCTCCCAGGGCTGGAGCTGGCAGAAAGCAGTGTGATGGTGCCTGGGCTCCGGAGTGCCCAAGGGAACTTTATTTCTGTGGGAAAAGCCTGGCAGTGCTCAGCCCTTGCAAGAGGCTGGAGCTTGCAGCACTGACAGCCATAGCAGCTTGCACTGTTGCCATCACAGGAACATGCTAAAAAGTCTGCTGAAATAGCACAGAATAAAGCACAGAATAGAGGCTGGTGCAGTGACCTGCACACTTCTAAGAAGGGGGTTTTGCCCTTGCTTTGACGATAGAAACAGTTTTGTACTTTTAAAACAAAGCAGTTTAATTCCATCTCTTTCTAACCGTTTTCAGTGTCAGATTTCCCACTGCTGCTGTTGCAGCCCACAGCCATCCTTCCAATGCAGACATGTGCCAGTGGAGACCAGGCTTGGCTTCTTTTGCCATGCTGCTGTTACACAGCAGCTGCATGCACACCCAAGGGAGTATGTTTGAAGGCTGCAGCGATGCTACTGCCCATAAAGAATTGTGGAGAAAAGCACGAGATGGCACTGGCGGCTCAGGTGAGTGCCTTGCCTCTGCCCTGCAGAACTCTTGGTGGCTGCCCCCCAGCCCAGCAAGTGGCACCTCCCAAGGGGACACCTTCTTTGACTGCTACTGGGACACATGTCCTGTTAGATTAAGACCAGAGCCAGGAATACTGCAGTTAGGCTGCAACCATGTGCATGCCAGTTCTGGTTGCATTTAAAGCTACAGTGTTTAGGCACAGGCATGTGAGAAGGTAGCTCAGCTGAAACCCGCAGTCCATCCCCCCTGGGCAGTGCTGACACCCACATGCACCAGGCAGTGAGTGCTGCTGCCTTCTGCTGTCCCAGGTTGGCTTCACAAGTGTTTTGTATTCCCATCACGCTTACCTTCAGGGAGAGGTCAGGAGTGAGTCAGGAGCAAGTGAATCACGCCAGGCGTGCAGGACAAGCAGCAGAAGTGTAACTGCTGCTGAGGGAGCACAGGGAGCAGCCTCTGCAGTGGTACCTGCAAACTCGCGTGTCCCAACCCACGGGTCCCACGGGAGCTCCTGCTCTAGCATGAGATGATGCATGACAACAGCTCTTGCCAGCAATTTGGCAATTGTACCAACACCCTGCCTGAGCACTTTCTGTCACCCTGTTGATCCCAGCACTAGAGAATCTGAGCTCACCTGTAGAAGGATGTGTTTGGCATGCATCCCCGAGTAGTGGGGCAATGCACAACTCCTGAGAAATTAACTCGCTCTAGGGAGTGGGTCCAAGCCACAGGAATGTGACCAGGCAAGACACAACCATGCTGTGACACTGAGAAACCATCCCTGAAACATGTGCAAGAGAACAAACTTCTGTGAAACGCAATTGCAGCCAAGGTAATGTTTGACTGATATTAAGATACACACTTGACTACACAGGGATCTGTTACCCAGTTTTTTCAGTGCAAAATTCAAGCCAAACTGCATTTTTATCTCAGGGACTAACCCTATTTGGGATTCTCTCTCATTACTGTAGGTTTTTCTGAGCAAGAACATGAATGGCATTATAAAAATGAGAAAATCCCAGCTGTAATGAGTTGACCTTACTGCTTCCCCTTGATTTCACTGGAGGTGTTTACCTCAGTGCTGAATTTGTTATCCTGGCTTCCATCCCAGTGTTTGGATCCAGCCTTGCAGATTACATAATAGGGTTGTGATCCTTGCAGTGTTTGCTGCCTTCTGTTTCTGTTCTAAAGACCAGTAGTACATGGTTTACAGGAATGCTTAAAAGTGAGACATGCAGCATATTTAAACTGAAAGGCATAAGCCTTTCAAACATTATTAAACAACAGAACTGCCATCAGAATGGGTACCGGAAAACAGATTTAAAAATATCAGGAGGAAGAGGAACTGTGTTTTTCAGAACTTAACCTCTAACCTAATTAAATTAAGATTAAAAACAGTCCTCTCTTTGGGGAGAATACTTTATGAATACTTAGGGCAGGGCACAGATTGAGATGATACCATAGACTGCTCAACATATGCCTTTTCCCATATTCTTCCAGCTACCATTTGCCACTAAATTGAATTAGTGTAAATGGAACACCCTGCTCAAAAAAGAGACTTTGTAGTTTTTTAAAGCATGTTTATGTGACTGCACATAAATGTTTGTGTAAAAAGGGAGTTATGACAGTTTATACCACAAAGGTTACAGTAAGAAAAAGCACTTCTTTTTGACAATAATTCACAAATTCACAAGAATCACTTTAATATACAAAGCAATTACTACCATTCTGAAACACAAAGCAGCTAATATGTACATAGTGTTAATAAAATGCATTATAACCCAGTACAATTTTTTAAACACAGATAAAGCACATAAAAAAAAAAAAAACACAACAGGGATGTTTCTAGATTTTTGGGGAGATGTAAAAAAGCATTTATTTTTTCCCCCAATGATGGATTTTCATTTAGTTTTTTAACTTCCACAAGTATATGGGAGTCAAGCTCAAATACCCTGTTCTGTGCTGACACGGTTTGGGTAAAGAATCAGAAATGCAGATGAGGTGAACATACTCTTTCCAGCTTACACTACAAAGGGAGAATAATAACCCTTGCTCTGGAAGCTTCCCTGAAAAACACTGTTTCAAAACAATTTCAAATGATAAATCCAGAGTAGAAACAACTAATTTCTGAAGTGAATGAGCAATCTGTGGAAAAAAGTCTGTGGAGGAGCTGGCTGCCAACTAGCACCTCTTCTTGTCCTGTTCCCATCCCAAGAAGTCCATTATAAGCAGCACAGTTTCAAATCTCATATAAACTTGAAGTTGTAGAACATTTTAAAATTAATGTTTTAATATAAATAAATGTAATTAAACACACACAAAAAAAATGGAGTGGCACCTGTATAAAACATCTTGTGGAGAGCACCCAAACATCCTTAGATCTTAAGAGTGGCCATTTCTGCATAAGCAACTGGCTCAAGGTCTGCCATCCCCATGCTCTCACTCAGCTACCCCCTAATTTAGAGGAATATGCAGCTGAGGCTGAGTGAACTGCTCGAGTCCAGAGTGCAGTGAGTGCTCAGCTTACAGTGTGCCAGCCATGGGTCACTCCAGCCTGTCCCTGGCCCTTTCCCTGCCAGCACACAGCTCCCGAGGCCAGCTGACTGCTCCTGCCTCCCCCGCCGAGAGCGAGCCCTGAACTCAGCACGGAGCGAGTCACAAACTGCACTTGCAGTGCCAGAATGCAAACAGGTCACTCTTCAATTTGTGCTGTGCCAACTAGCCCAAGCACATCTCTCTGCAGGCCACAGCTTAAATACATTTTAAAAACACATTCCAAGGCAAAACACTTGAAATGCAAACCCTCTTTACACCACCTGGATCTGGTCCCTTTCCCCCAAAGATTCACACACTTAAGTCTACCCACAGACCTGAACCTGTCACAAGCACACAGAAGTTGGATTTCAGCACCCTCTCTTCACCAGTCTGGCTCCTTCCAGACCAACTGAGCTTCCAGATACATTCAGGCTTTTGTAAAATCAGTGTCTTTTACAGCTAGAAAATTACACAGCTCAGAAAAACAAGTTTCCAGGCAGATGACAGAGAACCATCAGTGTACTGTATGCTTTTTAAAACCTGCTCACAATGACAGACTTCAGGGTTATAGTTAAATTATCATCGTTCCTGCAAAAGAAAGGTGGTTGTGCCGTGCTTTTCTTTTCAAGCAAGGTGACACACTGTCAGTGCACCTTTACTTCCTGGTGTCAAATTATTGGAAAGCCTTTCGATTTGTTTTCTTGGAATGCAGCTTGTAAAATCCACAAACAAATCCTGAATTAAGAAAAGGGGAATAAAATGGCTGAAAAATAGTTCAGCTTTCCTTCCAAATTAACCTCCCTTTCCCACATGGGATCACTGAACTAGTTCTATTCTAAAAATAATTTCACATCCATCCTCTACATACTGCTCCAAGACACCACACACTTGATTCTTACCCCTTCAGCTCTCCTGCCCTTCTGAAGCAATGTCTGCTGGGCACCAGGTGCTGATCTGCAAGTTCAATTAGCCAAGGAAGCAACTGCTGTGGAGGAGTGAATTGTGTGCAGGCAGCAGGATCACAACAATTATGCCAGAAATCTTCTCAAGCAAACCAAATTTACCTTATTTCTTTTTCCTCTGTGTTTTGTTTGTTTTTTTCTTTAAAAGTGCACATTTTAATTAAACATTTACAAAGAACATAGTGTAACAAAAATAAATACATAACCTTTTGGTTGGATCATTGGCAAATGTTACATCACTAACCAGGCTCCAGGGTAAAAAAAATACAATAAAAACAAGGTCTTAGAAAATTAATTAAATCCTCTATGAACTATCATAGATTTGCGACCACTGATATTGAACTTGCTTTGATGGGTGGACTTGTCTTTAAACCACAAAAAAACACTGACTGCCAAAAATGAAAAAACAAAATAAAAAAGCAGGTGCCAGTTTTCACTAACAGATGCCTACTTGCTGCTGCAGTTTACTGGAAGCCCAGATTTTAAAAAAGCAACCCGTGGTACAAATTTAGGTCAGAAACTATCAGGGCTGTTTTTCCTTATTTTTTTTTTTTTTTCCTGAGCCTCTTAATTATTCCAAACACCCCACCAATTTTCTGACCAATGTACAAGTACCAGAGAAGACAGTGATCTCCACTGCAAATGCCAACTCCAGGCTAGCCAGAACTGCAGGTGTCTGAGCAGTCCTGACAAGCACAACAGGCTAAAATTGTGCTTTCAGATACAAGCAACGGTGCCGGCAACTACCCAGTGCTGGTGAAATTGCTGCCTAAGGAAGAATGCATCACCACTACCCCAGGAGGAAAACAGAAGTCTTACCAGTGGTTCCTTTAGAAAATAACACCTTAACAACCTTTCCAAATATTTTGCCTTTGATATATAGCTGCCAAAGAGAAAAAGCACACAAGTGAATTACTCTGGGTGGTGGTGGTTGTAAGACAACTGTTTATATAATTTCAAAAATCTTCATCAATAAAAAACAAACTTCACAAAAGCCACAAAAGATGAAATAAAATTCTTGAAAATGGATAACTGAGAGACAGCACAAAACAAATCAATAATTAAGAGCTAGAATAATGCAGCCCAGAGCTACTGGGGTGAGGGGAAGCGTTCACACCCACACACACACCCACACACACATCCACACAAACCCAGACACACAGAAAAGTAAAAATTCTTCTTCTGACCTCCATATACTATAATACTCAGCATTCCTGACTTAAAAGCTCTCAGAGCTGTAGATTATATACTGTGTGTATATATATATATATATGTACATATATTATACATATGTATTTTCCAAGAATATCTAAATTAAAAGAGCACCTTTGACAATATCTTAACTGCCTGATTGGTGCTGTTGTTTTGCAAAATAATGACATTACAAAAATTATATTTCAAACCAATTCTTGTTTATTATGAACGGAACGGATCTAGCCCTTTCTAACCCTCTCTTCAGGTAAAAGAGTCTATCAGTTCTTGAAAACTCACAACCGTGAGATATAAAACTAATCCTCCCTCCCCCTTGTCAGCATCATTTCCATCCTACTTCCAAATGGCCTTAGTTTATAGAAGCTTATCACCCCAACCTCACTACTTGGTAAATAACATAGGAACAGAATCCTGTGTCATATTCCTTCCCTTTCTGGGACAATATGAATAGTAAAGCATGTATGGGTAGCCTAGCCAGCCCTGTACTTGGTCTAATACATTTTTTATTATTGTAATCTATAATTTTCATTAAATAAATTTGTGTCCCATAATCCTCAGTGCAGCATAAATAAAAATAATGATTCTTGCAGACGCCTATGTACTTTGAATTACATTCCTTTTCTTAGTGAAACTTTATTTGCTAATGAAGTCTAGGCTAAAACCACTACAGGCCACTCGCAGACCACACACAGACAAACGAGTAACACAGCTCTCCTCTCACTGCCACACAAATTTGCACAAACTGTGTATTAGGAGAACCCCACCTGGGCACTGTTTTAGGCTCCCATGCCCATTCAGCCCCCAGGTTTTGTGCCCAGTGATTATCAGCAATCTCTGGAGAGTGCTCATTACCAACTAAACACAGTTCTCAGAGCCCAGCTTGCCTTGCTCAGTTCACAGCAAAACCTCACATTTTTTGTAAACAGATGTTCTCCAAAAGAAACAGCCTTAATGTGGGCATATGCAGCCTTTTCTGTGTTTCTCAAAGCTCAAGGAAACATTCCATGTAACTGCAAATGAGGCCACCATGAGCTCCATGCTTTACAAGAATGACTCCTGTATTACCAACATTTCTACTTCAGTACTCGTTCTGGAAAATGTAACCGTTTTATGTATTTGTATTTCCTGATTTTAAGAATCAGATAGGTTTTATAAAAGCACTGCTGAGAACTTAGGGTCTTTAAATTTGCACTGCTAAACTAATAGATTCATCTCCCATTAAATAAAAACACAAAAATCAATTCTCTATGGCAGATAAAAATAGACCATTTATAAACTCCCACAAAACTTGTGAAAGTGAATTATTTCATATTTCTGATACTTATCTTCTTTTCTTGAAATACAAGTGTAATTTGAAATTCTTGATAACTTTAGATGTAACAATAATGCTGTAAGTTTAACCCTGCTCCTTTTAAATTAAATCTCTTGGAAACTGAATGCCCCCTCAAATGAGAAATCTAGAACTTTTAATACTGCTTAGGTGTTTGAGACTCAACTGCCCAGAGTCTTCCAAGTATTTTCCTTATAATGTCACACTGATTGTATAACCTTTTAGAAGCCTGTGTGTGAAATTTATCTTAAAAAGATATAGAGTGAACGGGAAAAAATATTAGCCAATACTCTGCTAGGCAAGGCCTTATCCATACATCTCCATACATAAGAGTTTGACCAGAAGCCCAAAGTAAACTTACTCCATCAAATGACCCAAGTTTATAGTGAGAGACTGGCTTCAGAGGGCCAGTACACAAACTGCACATGATTAGTTTGGACACATTCTTTTTGACAACTTCTTGATGCTCTTTTTTGGTTCTTTTTGAGCATGATTCTTTTGAAGTCCTAATGCTTAATACAGAGTTTTAAAAAAATATTAACTACCTTTTTTAACACCATAAATCTGGGAAAGACTACAGTTCCTCAGTGCACAGAAAAAAACCTGATCTTGCAAACATCTGAGGCACGTAAGTAATTTTAGTTGCAGGAACAGATTACTCAATAAATCTGACCCTTTCCAAGAAAAAATACCCCAAATAAATTAAGAGTTTAGCTAATCTGGCCAGGTTCAAATAATCAGTATTTTCTCTTTCAAAGCAGGAGTTGTAATATTTGTGTTTAAGTCCTCTTTAATATTTGAGGTTGTCCTGGTAGTTGTTATACTGCAACTTAATTTATGTATAGAAGGCAGCCTCAAAGTTCAAAAAAGAATTTAGTAAATCAGGCAGATATTTCTATTGAGTACAATAATTTCCATTGCCTAAGACAGTGGTAGTGAAATAAAAATAACCTCATTGCTTGAGAGGACTTGGGACACAGACCATACTGTCTTCATGGAGTATTTAAGTGGAGTTGGCTATGCTTCAACTGCTTAGTTGTTCTGCATAGAAATAGGTAGTGCTTTAACATGCTACCCCTGTTTACTATATGACTGTTTACAGAAGATCACGATTGCATCTTTTTTTTAAAATTTTCTTTCCTATCCAAATATAATTTCCCAACCTATATCCTCTGAAATTGGTGTGTGTTTTCTGTGCATTCAGAATGCTGAATGCACTTGCACACATAAACTATGAGAATCAACAACTGACCAGTGAAGCTCATTTCAATGCATTTGTTTCTGAAGTATGGAGAAGGTTTTACCAGTCCAGGAGGGCTTAATAAAGATTGCAAATCAAACCTCCATCCTGGGCTAGCTTGAGAAAGGTCTGTTATCTCCACACCAAGAACGTGACAGTGAAGCGCCCTTTGTCTGGTGTGCTGCTCAGCCGTGTATTTGTACAGTTCAGCTGAACGTGTGAAACCAGTGTGGCAACCACTGCTTCTTCATTGTACCATGCATGCTCCACCTCTGCAGCCCACCATTCTCTGGACCAAGAGGCTGGGGTGACTCTGTCTCTAAGGCAATGGAAAGAGCTCAGCACAAATTCTTGACATCTTTACAAAAGGACCCTCCCCACAGTAACTTCCCAAGTGACCACTGTTACTCCTTGAAGAGGATCGGGAGATGAGAGAGAAGCCTGTTCTTCTTCTTCACGCTGAGATTGATGATGAAATTCATCTTGTAAGGGGAGAAGTGGAGGCAAATACTTGAACATTCACAGTTTGATGCAAAGCACAGATGAAGTATATTCTGTAGTTGCTTCAGGCAGTTTTGAGCATAGAAAAAAAGAAATGTTTAGAAAATAAAAAGTTTACTTTGTCTTTCTGGGTATAGCCAGAACCAGTCTCTATCCCACCTGGACAAGTGAAAACGAGAATCCAAAATTAATCTGATTTGTGGCAGTAAAGGTCTTTAAGTGCTTTCAACTCCTCAATCAGTGTCTTGTTTTGGTTTTCAAGCACAGCCACTCGATTTTCTAGACATTTCACGTACTCCTTTTTCTTCCTGCGACATTCACGTGCTGCCTCTCTGCAAAGCAAAAAAGGCCATTCAAATCCAGAACAATCATTTGCAGACATGGGCTACCCAACTGCTTTCAGTCAAACCTTCACTAGTACTGCCATTTTCAGAATATGGACATATTGCTAAGAAATCCTAGTGATGAAAAACACTGAGTTTGTTACAACTGCTCCTCATAAATCACACTCACTCAAGATCCACATATCATTTCAGTATACAGATCCCAGTAAGACAGCACCAATAACTTCATCATCATCATCATCATCATCATTATTATTATTATTATTATTATTATTATTATTATTATTATTATTTCTTCTGTGAGCAAAGGATCCTAATCAGTGATAACATTTTGCTCGCAGGATTCACATTGAAGCCTTTAGGCTGAGTAGAATGGTGCTGCAGTAATTTGACTTTATTATCATCTATTACTCTTTTTACAGTCTTTAACTTTTCCCTTTGCTGCAGTCCAACAAGATGATCAACTGGTGTAAAAAAAGTGCTGTATCTCAAGCATTCATGTATTTGCTCTTGAGCAATGCTTTCATTTTAATAATGATGTCTACATCACTGCAATGATACTATAATTGACTCAAATAAAAATAAAAGCCAAAAAATATCACAAGATAAACATTAGGAACCATGTAATTCTTTAGTCCCTGTCACCTATGCCAAAAACAGACCTCAAAATAGTCAAACTTTTAAGTATTGCTTGTAAAGAGTGAGCTGCCTGTAGGTAACTTGGTAACATACCAAGAGCACCAGTGAAAAACACCAGAAGGTATTAATGTGCTGCTGAGCATCCTGAAGGCAGGAACACCGAGCAGGAACTACCCTGCACAGCAACAGAACGGCACCAACGTGCAAAGTAAGCACAGGGCTAAATGCCACGGGCAGATGGGAGCCCAGGCAGAGGGCTCTCCTCCTGCAGCACCACTTGTCCTAGCAGCACTCTGCAGGCACAGGGAAACACTTATTTGCCCTAAACCTTTAGGTACAAAGCAGAATAGCTTCAAAAATAAGAGTCTGTGTGCCCCTTCATTGCAAACACTACACAGACTGGTGAAACAGTCCCATTTCTGGGAAATGAGAGGACAAATCAGAACCTAGTTCCTCCCCTTATTAGATAAATAGTAGCTGTAAAACCAGAATGCATTCCAGGACCTAACTGATAAGAAGCCTCTAAAGTAATTCCTGAAATTCAGCTCCACAAATGAGACAGGATGAAGAAACCATAGCCTGTAAGCCCTGAAAGGATTCAAGTATCCATTTGTCACTACCACAAATACAATTTCACACGCCTGCAGTGCTTCAGTAAACCATGTGCAACATTTAGAATTTAAGTAATTTTGGGCTGTTACCAAAAGATTAAGTACTAGGAGATCAGGAAGTGCCTCCCAGTGCAAGCTACTAACAAATCTCCTTGGGTGACAATATTTTTTTTCTGTGATCTTTTTCTGTGATTTTTTCCCCCCCTTAGGCTGCGTATATTAAGCCACCTCAACTCTGTGTGTGCTAGTTGTTCATTACAAACAGCCAGACTTTTACTGAAATACAACAGAGCTTTAAAAATGTAAAACTTAAACAGAAAATTTGCACAATAATATATATGAATATTTACACTATAATCCTCCAGTAAGTACCACCTTACCATCTGCCTCTCTATCCCTTTTCCCCACTTTGCTATGGAGCTTAGATTTGCAAATATCTATTAAGCAGACAAGCTAACAGCACCACATGCAACATGATACTGTTGCAAAAGCTGTCAATTTAACTCAAGTGGGGTAATTCCCCATTGTTCTTCTTGGCTTTCACAAACACAAAAGCTTTGTTTTACTGGAATAAGACTGATGACTAAATGAGAGTATTCTGTTATTCTAATTAATGTTTTTTTTTCAAATGCAGAGCCTGAAAGAGTGATATCCACTATTCACTGGTATGAGAAAACTATATAAAAAGGGAGATGGGTGACATTCTGTACAAAAACCTTTTAAAAAAGTGACCTCTGCTGTTCAGCATTATTTACTTCATTAAAGCCCCTTGTATAAGCACTGGGTCTGCTCAAGTTTCCATTATGTTCACAGCACAGCAACCTACAGAAGATAAATCAACCTGCACAACATCAGTTTTTTCAGACTGACAGATGAAGTTAACAAGGTTTTCAGGGGGCTTCCCCTGCTCAGAAGGGTGGGAAGCTCTGGGTTCTCAGTGTCACAGTGTAACACACAGGCTCCAATCTGTGGCCTTGGGTAAGAGTTCAAGCTTGGTGTGCTGGGCCAGTTCAGACCTGCCCCTTCCCACTCCCACAGCAACAGACCTCAGGAGCATCCTGCTCAACTTCTCCCTACAGCTCCCTTCCTTTGCTACTTCCACCCACTCCTATCTCTAAGCTTAGCTGTTCCTCCTCACACACTGGATCCTACAGGATCAAGTCTTTGCTTTTCTTTTAGCCCCTCTACTGCCACTATTGGCTGCACAGGATTTCAATCAAAAGGAATAGCTGCTCATTTAGTCTTTGCCTGAGCCTTTCTGCCTCTGGAGGAGAAAATCCAAAGCAGTTAAAAGAACAAGTGAGACAATTAAGAAAGCACTCACAAAGAGCACATGTGGGCCAGCAGCAAGGCTAAGGGAGAGAATCCAGCAAAGTAAACCACATGAATGTAGTAATGCAATAAAAACTCAACTCATCTTAGTGTTTGTAAGAACATACCTGCAGTCATACAAGTATCTCACCAATTACTTTTCTCCTTACTGCAACAACCAAATTCACTCTCCTCACAGAATGAGCCTGACACTTTACTCAAGGTTTCACGGTCGCAACACACAGCATTAGTAGATATACATTCCTGCTTTGTGTCTTTAAATAAAGGCAAATTCTTTGTGAAGCATTTCATAACAGGGCTAAGAAAGATTAGTGCCTGACACACTGCCCTGTGCAGAGCTGCCAGGGCAATGAAAGCAGTGTGAATGTACGTGCCTGTTCTTCATCAGCCGCACTTCCCTCTTGCGCGCAGCCTCCTCTGCCGGCTGCGTCGGCAGCGCTGGGGACGACGCCATGACGACGCCTGGCGCGATGGTGCTGGTCGGGGCCGTACGGATCTGGTAGGTCTGCACGTCTCCTGAGGCAGCTGCAGGGACACACGGGAACGTGGCATCAGTCTGGTGACAGCGCTGTCACACGTGCTCATCTCTCTAACCTGTCATGTCCCTAACATAATCACCTCTGTGACCCAGCCACCTCCCCACGCCACAGCTCAGGAGGGACAGCCATCATCTGGGTCATCACTGCTGCCTCGGGCTCCGTTTATTCGTGTATGCAAGGTTTTGGGCATTCCTGCTGAAGAAGTCTTCACCTGTTCTTGGTAACTTGATTTGTCTTGTGGTAGAGCTGTGCTTCTTTCTCCCTTATTATATTTCTTTATACTGCTCTGGTTTTTGGGCAGTTCTAGCATTTCTAGAGAAGGATGGGGTTGCTATTTCTAGCTATGTTCGAAATATCTGTCTGGAAAAAAAGGAACTGCATGTGTAAGTATCTAACATAGAAAAAAGGTATAAAAATGAAGCATTTACTCCCACAAGAGATGGACAGTGCCCTCTATTGTTTCTCTAGAATGAGCAAGGTCTTGGCTTTCTTTTATTTTATTAATTTTAATCTTTGGAGTGTGTTAATTTTGCCTGAGCTCATAAAAAACCGCAACACCACCTACAGAAATCATACATCCTTAAGAACACAAAAACCCAAAGATCAATGCAACAACAGTACTCTTCTATGCTATGCATTTTTACTGATGCCTGGTAAACTCTTCACTTTCAAATCAACTACTTTACAGTCATAGAGGCAGGGGTACATTTCTATTATTTTCAATAAAAATTTTGTAATGCTCCTCTATTTTTAATAAACCAAAGTATGTATTCTGATACAATAGGTCCCCACAACTTACTCTAAGCAGAAGTAGCTCTGCCAAGTTGAGGGCTAGACCAAATGGTCACTTAAGGCACTCTGCTAAATTGTTCTATGATTCCAAGACTCACTGATTGAGTTAGTCACTCAGTGACTAGTTACAAAAGTAACAGTAGGAAGAAATGATGACTTGCAACTGAAAAAGGGGAAAAATTACTAATAAATTAAAGTGTCCCTTTAGAAAGAATCAAACATCCTTCTAATCTATCTTAATGCTTGCTCTGAACTTCCTATTGTTGCACATATGGGAGAACTCAGAACTCTAAAGTGATATTAACTTTTGCAGAACATATTAAAAAATTGTGTGGACAAAATGCAGGAAACACAGCATGGAAAAGCAAAAATAAATGTATTAAACCTCAAATATCCACAGTTTTACCAGTCTAAAGGAAAAGGCTTCAAAAAATATGACAAATAGTTTTTTTGTCCAGAATTTCAACAATTTTATGGACTTATCTGTGCCAAAGCTGTTAATTCTGTTTCCTGACATATTTGAAGGAGTCAGGCTGGCAACTTCTATCTGCACAGAGAAAATGTTACACAGAATGACTATCTGTGAACTTTCTCACCTTGTACAACAACTTGGTTGCTGGGTACAAGTATCTGCTGTCCGTCTGTGGTCTGTGCATATTGTAAAATGGTGGTGCCAGGTTGGGTTGCAGCTGCATTGGTCATCGTCAACGTCTGGAGACCTTGTACTCCATCTGTGCCATTGTTAGACAACTGTATTGCTCCTCCTTGGGTGATGGCAACTGCAGACAAAAAAAATCAACCCAGCATTTCAGACAATAATTCATTCATTAACTTACAGTATTAAACGTAGGTATGGAAGAATACTGATCTAAGCTAAATCACTTGAATCCTTACACACCCCCAAATAAGACACATGGTTTCAATGGACAAGAAAGAAATTATCCTTTGAAAGGTAAGTTTTCAAATGTTTGTGAGGTCCAAAACCTACAGCCTAAAATATAAACTAGTTTCTCTAATAAAACAGAATCACATGGAAGAGTTACAATCCACCCCCAGGGAATACTTTTTAATTAGTTAAGATTTTCTTGGTTGATTTAGGTATTTTTCTCAATCCTCAGTTTTTCTTCTCATCTGAAATTCCTCTCATCTTCTGTGCTTTATGCCCTTCAATCTCCTCTGCTGCTAGTTCTATCCATCTTGTGTTTCACTTTCTTCGTGGCTTTTTTTCCCCCTTCTGATTGTGTCCCTGCTTCTCTACAACTTCCTGAGACCCTTCCTAGGTGTTTTATCATTCATAAAGGTACAGGTTGGTTCAGGCAGTCTTAACTTTCTTGGTTTTTTCCTTTCTTGCCCTCAATCCTGTCATACAGGTATACTGAGACATTGCCCCTTTTGTGACTCACAGAATTCCACTGTGTTCCTATATACAGACACACCAAAATCTCGTCTGCACACGCAGTTATTGTACAGTTGTAACAGGAATCAGAATTAACCACATCCATTTCAATAAAATTAAGCAGGGCACAAAGCAAAGGGGTTAAGGAGTAAACAGAAATACAAAATTTTAAAGAGATTTTAAGAGACAGAGGTAAACAAGTAGTTCTTTGTCCCTTTTGTATGTGTTGTATATGTCTCTTACTGTATGGTTAGTGTGAGACAGGATGTGTCTTATCTTTAAGGCCATATCCTCAATCATTCTTCAAGTCAAAACACTGTATCTATAAAATCTAACAAAGAAAACACAGAAACATATACTTATGAAATATATTAAGGCTGTCAATGACCTTATTTTTTCAGGACTTTCTAAAAATTTAATTGCAGACGTAATGTTTTTTTTCTAATGATGAAGTTACAGCTTGGTGAACAAGTGTTAATGACCTGCCACAAAAATAAAGAAACTTCTGAATTCCCCCATCTGGTTCCTGAAGTGAAGAAGTTTATAATAGCATTATGGTTAGTTCCTGTTTTGCCTCAGGATGCATTAGCTGCACCAAGTGGCAAGCAGTCCCAGAATGTTAATCGAGCCTTTCAAACACTTACAATAGGAATGTGTTTAAAAGGCCTGGTTAACAGTCAAAATAAAGTAATCTTTTTTTCATCTCCTGCTTTGTCCTAGTCCAAACAACAGTTACAGAAATAATAGTTCTTCATCTTCTCATCCCCACTTACTAGCACCACTGAGAAATTCAGACTACATACTGTACTGCCCACTGCTGGTTTGGTAAATGGGAGTTGGCACCGTAACAGTGGCGATGGCAGGTGCTGCTGTTTCCTCTTCAGACTTTTCTTCTTCGATCCTTGGCACTCCTGGAGCGTCTGAGGACAAGTCATTCAAAATTTTTCTGGCAAAGACAGTGTGTTGTAGAGATTTTAATAAAAATTGGGGGAAAAAAAATAGTCTGATACACAATGCTGGGGAAAACTGTGAAGTGCAGCAAGCCAGCACAGAAAATATGAGCGGAGAATGAAAACCACACACTGTCTTCAAACTCTTATCAGAGAGGATTGTTCAAAATGCCAAGTACCCATGATACAGCTATTACAACCTCTCCTTTTTCTTCAGGGCATGTTTCTCTCATCCATTTTTATTTGGTTCCTGCTTTTAGCTATACAAATATTTGGGAAAAAAGTCAGAACCTGTCTTCTCACTTACACTGGGGGAACTGCTCCATTTCAAAGACTATAAACACCTCAGCCAGGGAGCTGAGTACCAAGGGAGTTAGCAGGAATGCTTGCAGAGAGCCAGCAGTTCATAATTTAACACCTGCCTGGGAGACAATACCCAGTGTTTGAGAACAGTCTCACAGTTCACAGGTGCCCTGCCGGAGAAAGTTCATGGGTAAAGGAATGAACAGATTGTTTCCTTATTTCCATGAGCTAATTATCCAAAGTCAAAACTTCTAAAACATCACTGCTACAGGTCCCACTGAACATGACTATAGACTGATCACAGCAGTCATTGCAATCTGACTCAAACACTGAGTCAAACACTGTCCTTCCTCAGAGGACTGTCAAGCCCTTTTCACTGCTGGCATATTCTATTATGTCACAGCAAAGTGCAGTAAATGCCCTCAGGTAAAGGGCAATGTTTTTTGTAATTCTCCTCCTATGTTTTCCAGTGGATTGGCAAAGGAACTCAGTGGGATGAAGCAAACACAGCTATAGACCCCAAGTTCCAAGACAACACTACTTTCTTATACAAGACTCCTAAGGCTGTGGGAGCCAGAACACCTCTGTGAAGCTATCTAGGGAGAGCAGTCATTCTGCTTAGCAACTTCACAAATAGAGTTTTGCTGTTGCTGTTTTGACTTTGTGTGCATGCAAGAAACCCCAGTACTAGAAAACCCTGTGCAAAGAACCACTTAGGCAAATAAAAAATTCCCATCCAAAGAGTTTGCAATCTAGGTGTTAGATCAGAAACTAGTGAATGAAACAGATGAAAAAATATGGAGAGAGCTGGAATGCTGAAGAACAAAACCCAAGGAGATAAAAAAATCACTTTTTAACCTCATGTCATTATGACATCATGGTTAAAACCTATCTTTGCCAACATAAAAATGGATTTAAGGTAAAGGATAAGGTGGCAGCTTTACAAATACAGGAGCTATGAACTGATGGAATACATGATGTACTTTAGTAGCAGAACCACAGAGAAGTTTTTGTGGAAGAGGTATAGCTTTCAATTCTGTGAACATAGCTACACCTTTGTTTCTGGGGCCAATTACAGCAGGTAGAGGAATGCCAGCTGGGAAGAAACTAAAGACAGCAGTGGTCTGGCTCAGCCTTTCTGACCTAACCAACACCAGCCCTGAGTCTGAGGTGCATACAGAAGTTAACAAATGTTGCTGTGTCACCACGATCTGGTTTGAAGACAGAGGCTGTGTTGTGGCGCTAGTGCAAGCAAGAGCCCACCTCAATGAGAAGTCAGCATGCACAAGCACCCTCTTCTCAGTCTTGCTGCTTGTTTACTTAGCTCTGTTTTCTCACCATATACAGCCACTCTTCCATATATAGTAAAATCAAGTGTCTTGCTGCAGAAGCAGACTGAAGGGAATCTGTGGCAGCCTTAAAGTTAACACTGCTCCTCACAAATAAAATTATTTTTCCAGATCTATTATGGCTAGGGGTCTTCAGCAACGATTTGCACTATCTTTGGCAGAACAGCCTTGAAGGCTGCTAGATGAGGCAGACAATAATGTCCCCAGTGCTAAAAATGTTTTATGGTTGAGATATGCTCAGGCCTACAGCCCAGCTTCTATTTCCAAGGCTATGCTCATAAAGGAAAAAGGAGCACTTGGATTTTTTAAAGCAGCAGGAACTCACAGGTCACTTAAAAACTACTGAACCCCAGAGCTGTTCCTTAATGCTATTTAGTGTGTTTTAAGACTGAAAGTGGGATTTAATACAGACACAAAAAACTGTACAAAGGCTTAATTAATAAAGTAACATGGGACACCACGTGAAAGAGAACCTCAGCTGGTTTTGCCAGAGGTATTTGCCATGAGGAATGGACACTAGATACTACACTGAACACATACACTGACTTAACTTTAAACACAAACTATTTGGCTCAAGCAGAAATTCTCTCTGAGCTATGGAACATCACAGCTTCCTTAAGTCTCATGGGAAAAAGGAATTAAGTTTGATTGCTCCTAGCATTTCAGCAATAATGAAAACCAGTAGAGTTGATTTTTTGCAGACTACAAATTACACAAAATCCCTTTTTGCAAAGCTTAAGTGCATTTTGTATATTAAGTATTCATTAAAGCTATTTCTAAGGCATCTATCACAATGATAGTTCAATCTGCTGAAATGTGGCAATTAGCATATTCTCAGCTCACTTCTGTCTTAAGTAAGTGTAACTGCTGAGGTTTCTTCCTCTTGCTTATCTCTTTACATCCTATTCCACAGAAATATTCCATATTCCAATTGCAAGACAGAAGAGAGATTTCAGTTAAACGTTAAATCTAAAAAAAATACAATCCCACTGTTTGTATCTCCATGAGAACACACCCATCCATCAAGAAAATCTGCTTTAACTTGCATACCTGTAGGAGGGTCGTCTGGACAGAATTTCTCTTCGTTTTTGTGAGTCTGTGACACTGTCTACTGATTCCTGTGAATCTTCACTTTCTGCTATAGTGGAGATCTGTAAATAAGAATAGCAATCAAATTTAACAAGCCACTTCCAATGCCTTTATTTTAAGGAAATGTTGACATCCTGTGAAAAACACCACAATGCAAGCGATCTATCTAGATAATGAACAGAAAGTTACTGCTTAGTAATTGATCCAGCAAAGAATGACCAGTGATCTACCCAGCAGAATGTTCTTCATAATTTAAATACTTCAATAAGAAATCCTAAACATTAATACCATATGGTTTTTGCCTTCTATAATGTTTTGTTTTCATCCATTGCAAGGAAACAAAGATTATTTTAGCAAAATTTAGGGAGAGAATAAGTAAACCAAATTAAGGTAGCAGAAGAGTTTGGAAAGAATGACTAAAATACTGAAAAAACATCAATTTATAAATAATGAGGTAGATATGTTAAAGAGAGACTGCCTTTTATGGAAGAAATTGCCAGGAAAATGTCATACATGAAGATATTAAAAATAACATAGAGCTAAAATTCTGACTATCTTTCCTAAAAAAGCAAATTTTTTTATGCATAAAAGCTAAAATAAAAATAATATTAAAATAATATAGATAATTTAAAATTCAAAATGTGCATGACAAACTACATAAAAGCTAATGATGCTTATGTGAGAAACAGAGATCACATCCTGACAATTTATACACGGTAAAGAAGATTATTAAAGGCTCAAAAATCTTGCTGGCACCCACATCTCACAATTGTCAGATAGAGGGCCTGAATATGTCCAAGGCTGACTGTGAACTACTGGGCTCTGAATATCAAAACATGATGGATCTGCATTGAACCTGGTGAATTCCAAGCATGGTTTCATTGTCAGTATCTTATCTCCTACCTCCAGGGTAGCAACTTGTGCAGTTATCTCAAAACTGCTCACCTCTGATAGATTAAAACTCTGAACTTTTGACTACAATAGCTAAGGATGGCAAAGCTGGTCACAAACTCAGCACTGAAGCTGAGAAGCAAAAAATAAAGATTATTACCAGAATGGTCTAGTTTTAAGTTATGCATACCTTATTCTTAAAAACTATATCCAGTTGAATATCTTATCCAAAAGTCATAATACCTACTTTTTGAAGAAACATTTTTTGAGTTAATTGTTCTAACAGCACATGAATAATGTGTAGTCCTTGTCCTGTGTAGCTGCTGTACACCAAAAAATTTCTACATTCATTAACACTGAACTTCCAGTGGATAAAAAGCAAGTTAGAGGTTTTAAAGATTTCAGACTACTTGCCTCCTATCTTCAGGCTACCTCCATATTGCATTACCTGTCTTGCCTCACAAAAGAGAAAATGCTAAGGCTTCTCAAAGCATACAACACTCAACCAGCACACTTTAAAACCATTTCTATGTAAGGACTGATAGGTTTCTTTTAAGAACCAGTAACATACAGAGACCTTTATTGTAAACCAATGCAAATACTTCTTACAGAGCAAAGACTCTCATTCTAGAATGCTGGTCTCATTAATTATTAAAAAGTACATTATTACAAAAAATTAATCCTTTTGTTCACTTCAGAATAGTATGAACTCTTACTCAAGAAAAATGTATGTAAATACAGTATAGAGAAAAAGTAGAGTAATACTTTAAGAAAAACCCTAAGGCTGTTAAACTCACCAAACAAATTCTAGAGGGAAATGAAACTCAGCAATGTTTTAAAATGAAAAGTGGTTAAGCCAGAACAGAAAAAAGAGTAGCAAACACTGTAAAGATTTACAAAAACACAATCCAGAACACAAATACATTAAAACCAGTGCAATGACAGGCCTATTTCAAAGGCCCAGTTCACATATTAGGAATTTCTTCAGTCAGTACCTGAACTGTCTGGACCTGTGGAGATTGAATAACTGATGGCTGGGCAGCCTGAATTACTCCATGCACTTGAACCGTCTGCCCATTGGGCAGCTGAACTAAGGTCACCGTGGGTGCAGAAGATGTTGCGTGAGCTGCTGGCATAGATACCTGCGAAGAAGAGACAGTGAGCATAAATTAGGTTATTGCAAAATCTCCTTAGTTCAGTATTTGTTTTGGTGAAAGAACTGTCTCTTCTAGACACCAGTCAGATGACCCAAATGTTTCAGCGTAATATAAAACCCCCTGAACTGCCTGAGCCCAACACCTGACCTACTTCGCAAAATAATCTAATGCAGAATTTCTGGAGGCTCAAGCATAATTTGTAAAATCACTGACAAGAAAAAGAAAAACACAATTGCCTCTATTTTGAAGTAACCTGATACAAACACATCATTACCTTTCACTTACTTCACTTGGATACTGCTCAGACTCGGGTGTACTCCTACAGACACTGCTGAGTCAGAGGCAGAAACATATGGGAGTGGAGCTATTTCTGTTCTCACTCAGAAAAATGCAAAGAATTTGCCAGATGTAAGAACTTAACATTTTTAGGGAATCATACCTTTCACTTTCTACAGATTAAGCCATATGAGTAGCTGGCAAAGTGCATGTAAATGAAGAAAACTGACCATGTGTTCAGACAGAAAAACCCCATGAGTTTGCAGTGGAAGTAAGTATTTTGTAGGCAGTCACTGTGATTATTGTGTAACAGGTCAACACAAACTCTAGTTTCAAGAGTTATTTCTATGAGGAAAAATTGCCCATGTTTTAAACACAACTGTTTCTCCAGCACAGACCTGCAGGCACGGCAGCCATGCCAACAGGGATACACTGATGACCTCAGCATGGCACATTATGGCTCGGGCTCTGGGGACAGCAGTAGCCACGCACAGCTGCTCACACCACATGGGGCAGCCTCACCCTGGCAGCCACAGAACTCCTCTGGGTAGCTGAAGGGCCATGCACCAAGGCTGCCCCACGGCTGGGACAATGCCCAGTGCACATCCAGAACTTCCAGCTGCCTGCTGACACGATGCCTGTGTTAGGGGCTGGAGGCTCCTGAAAGGCTGCAGGGTGCCAGCACACCCCGCCCTCAGTGAGCATCCCTCCCACACGCCATGGCCCTCAGGGAAGGACTGCAGGCAAGCGTGAGCTGCTCTGGCAGACCTCAGCCAGCTCATGGGTCACTGACTCACCAGCTTTCTTCTAGTCATCCAAGTTTGGAAAACCTAACAATGCTCCACGGTTCAAGAGCATTTAAAAAAAATCAATCCACATAGCTGCAGTGCGAGGAAGGGCTACACTGCTGTCCTACCTCATCTCAAAGGGCTGCTATGTACTGGATGCAGAAGGAAATCCTCTGCTGTCCCTGTGAACACGTAATTCTCAAAAAGCTGCAATAGCTCATCTCTGAGTTTTCATAAACATCCACCACTTACAATGAAATCTTGCTTGACAACAAAATAAAAGGGAATTACATGTAGAACTCTCTCCTCCACAGCTGTCTCTCCCTAATCCACCAATTTGCATTTGCTTTTACCTCCGTTTTCCAGGAAAGCAGATGCAGCATTATGTGGTGCTATTTAACTTGCATCTGAGAGAAACTGGGCTGAGATTAACTTGAGAGCCCTTTCCTCTAACAAATTGTATTCTTTTACCAAGTGACCTTTCTTAATAATGCATGTCTGACTAAACAGTCCTTGGCAATGACAGCAAAGCTGATCAACTGGAGGCCACTGTGGCTGGATTAAGCCCACAGCAGAGTGTAACTTCCGCACATGTCTCTGACTCATACCTTGTGGAACTGGGACGAGTTTCCTTTTGACTCTGAAAGCTACCCTGAACTCACTAAAAACGCAGCAATTAAACTAAGCTTGCAAGAGGGGTGACCTTACAAGAGATAATGGAGGAATTAAATTTATATAATTAGTTATTTAGATTTGGCTAGGCCTCTGAGGGCACTCCCTAATGCCAAACACTGCCACTTCACCTATTAAAAATATCATAGTAACATAACACTGATGTGAACAACACAAGGAATTATGTTTAGACTGTTTTATCACCTCCACAAACTCTGTACAGGCTGGAGAAAAACCAAGGTGCAAATAATATAGTAAATGACAACATGGTGGTTCACATGGAGTTTAACCATACTTGTATAGTGTTTTCTTACTTGGAAAAAAGTCTCATTCAAGTACTGGGGTTAATTATGTCTGAGTAAAGTGCATGCTACCCAATACATACTTTTAAGTTCAGCTCCATGGAGGTTAGTATGTTAGCACATAAATGTAAAACATTCTTGATTCTCTGGACTAAACCTTAAAGCACATCAAGTGAGCAGCAGTTAACTGGTTTTGCAGGAGAAATAAACGACTTCCACTCAGTTCACATTGAAGTGTTATTCACACCACCTACATTCTGTGCCTAAGTTAGACAGTGAGAAAACTGCCCAAAGAGGCAAGCTGGTGCAGGGCAGCTGGTGGTTTGTAAATTCACACTACAGCTTCACCCAAGAAAATCAACCTATACATTTAAACAGCTCCACTTCCTACACTATCACTTGAATGGAAATGTATGGACTACAGAGGGCAGGACTTGTTTGGAAGTCTCTGGACTACCAAAAGGTGCAGTGACTTTAAAAATACACTAATCATTTATAGAAACTATGTGATTTAAAACTTCTGCCACTTAAAAGACACTCAATTCCATAAACTATGGAATCAGAAACACCTGTTCATTTTTTTGCAGACTACAATTACTTTTCAAATTGAATGGTTACACAAGAGAGCCAAACATATTCTGTAGTCATTTACATAATGGGGTTGCTTCTGCCCAACCATCAGTTTACTCAAAAATGAAACCCAGGTCCAAAATCAGAGATGTAGATGGGATTGTGTTTCTTATCTCTCCAAAATAATTTGGGGACAACAAATGATCTACTTCTGTCTCTCTAACTTGCCAACAATTCTGTGAAACTCTGGAAACAACAGGATAACACAAGCTGTCAAGTGCCAGATTATTCCACATTATTATAATGCTCATAATATTAATTCCATCTGATAAAATATTTTATTTGCTGCATTATTTATCTACACATTTAGTTTGTTTTCTTCAGAATTAAACTGACTACTACAGGAAAGTTTTTAACAGAAAACACAATAGCAAGACAATCCAATCAATATAAAGAAGACAGTAGGTTACACGCATTGAAATTAATACCTTTCAGTGGTATGGTTGTGGTAAAGAACTCTAGAAATATTTTTTATTCATTACTGTGTTAACATTACACAATTTACACTCATACAGCTCTTCAGAACTAACATAGCCTACTACTCTACTTCTTTAAAAACATTAAGACAAATATTAAAAGAACTAGACATCACATGTGTTTCAGAATCGTATCAACACAATCTTCTCTCAGGCCCATAAGCAAACATTATCCCTCTTAAAAATATTAACCATAAGTAAAACTCTTACACCATATCATTTTTATACCTGGGCTAACGTTGCAATCTGTGGTTGTGCCTGTACTGTCATCTGTTGGGTTTCTGCCTCTGTACCGGCTGCATCTCCACTCTGCTGGTTCTCTGCTCCAGATTCCATGGTCATTTAGTTACCTACAATCACAATATTTGTCATAAGTCTGGGTTGGTATGCAAGTCCATTATTCTTGGTGAATCTGGCAGTAATCACTGCATCTGAATTCCCATTACTACATACTGTTTTAATTTGCTTATTAAATGTTGCCAAATTATTAGTATTCAGGCAAATTCTTTTCATGCCAGGTGTTTGCCTCAGGTTGATTTTTCTGCGTGTAATGTTTCTGAAAAACAAGTCCAGCCTCCTCCAACAATGAGAACAGGAAAAAATGCATTTTGCTCATCCTAATAAAACTGAGCAATTGCACTCTGATGACCTAGCACCTCTGCAATTTGGACTAAAGACCTGTCAGTATGTCAGGAAGGGCACTCCCTCAGTGCCAAGGTGACAACATGCCCTGTTAACAGCCTTCCCTCTCCCCCCAGCTGCAGCCTGCAGATATCCAACAGCAATATTCTGTGCTGAGCACTCAGTCATCTTTGCCTGAACTAAATATACAACATCTCCATGCAAGTTCTTTCCATCACCACATTGTCTATGGCTCTATGTCACAGCAACTTCCACCCAGTGATTTTAAAGCCAGTATACAAAATGATGGAAGCCACTTCTACTTGAACCTTACCAGAAATGTTTTTATATTTAGAGATATGCATTAGTTTGCCATGACCTAAGTTTTTTATCATATACAGCTCCTAATACATTGATATTTCTGAACACTAACTGAGCAAACCTAGATCACCAGAACACACAACTCTATAAAAAGAGGTTGCATAACTTCCAAACCCATGCACGTAGGCAGAGTGCAATGTCTGTTAAATTCTGCACCGATCTCAGAAATCACTTTTCAGCTCTTCTTTAAGTACTGATATGAAAACATTTGATATAAAAAAGAACTTCAAAATACAAGGAAATTATATAGCAATGCTACTGTATTATACTGAACTCCAAATACCAAATATTAAGAATGGGTATTACGTCCATAGCCACAACACTTACTCTGTGTACCACCCTGTGTTGCCCAATGTATTCTGGCCTCTGGCTACCCCAGGGCAGCACACCTCTCTTCAGAGCTGGCTCAAAACCACCACTAGAGCATTTCTGCTTTGGGAAGGGGCCTGGAGGCAGAGGATGCTCAGAACAGTAGAAAAGTGGAAAGAAACAGAAATGCCCTCTCTGTCCCTGGCCTCCCTGAGGAAAAGACTTAGAAGTATCAATACAGGTGGTGGTACCATGTCCACTCTCCAGACATTTCATTTTAAACACAAAGTCAAGGAAGCTTCCATTTCAATGCAAACTATACCTCAGTGTTACAGGAAAGAGAATACCTTTTATACCACCTAAAACAGCACAGTCACACTTCAGTCCTGAATATGAAATGTCTCACAGTAAGCAATTTATAATCACGAAAGGTAAAACAGCTTTTCACAGCAGTAACTGCACGCTACATCGAAAGAAACCAAGTCAGTGTATATAAATCAAAATCTGTATATTTACTACAGAAAGTGACCATTCAAGTGTGTGTGTCAAACCTGAAATGTAAAGTATCAAATATTGAGTTCTAACATCAGCAAAGAAGGAAAATAATTAAACCTGATTTTCCTGGAAAATTAACAATAAAAGAAAACATAATTTAAAAAAAAAAAGCAAATTAAATTATTCTAAGCAGTGGAATTTTGTTATGCCTCTCTCTACCCAAGATTCCCGTACTACAGACTAAGTCTTTCCCATTTTGTGTTTCATACTTCAAAAACAAAACCCATGCACTATTAGTATTTGCAATATATTTTACCAAACAGCTTTTGAAGACTTAATTACAACAGTTTAGATGTTTTTCTATCCCAACTTTAACACACAAGTCATATTTTAACACATAGTCTTCCATGCTATATGCTCATTTTTCTTTTGAGTATTCTGTATTTTGAGAACTACAAACCAGACTACGATAGGTTTCCCTTTGATTTTTACCATTTCCATTACCATTTTACTATGTCTCCAAGAAAAGCAAATCAACAACTTTTTCCCAATTCTATGCATGTATCATGGTGACTCCAGTCAAAAGACTATCTCATTTGAACCACTTCAGAAGCAGATTTTTTACATCAGCAACATCTGCCAGCCAAACCTCTCCAAAGAACTTTTGAACACAACTTTCCAGATACCAATCCAAGTAAACTGCAAAACCAATAATGCTTGTGTTTGCTGATAGAAATCGTGACTCCACATGGAGTCAATGGGGATTACAAATGGATGAAATGTGCAAGTATCTGGTATTTAGCAATGTTCACAGAGGTAAATGTGTTGCCAAATTCCTGCTGATAAATGCAGTGTTTTCCTAGGAAAAATTTCCAATCCTCTCATACACTATTCAGCCAATGTCCTCTGTCTTTACAAGCTTGGCTTCCACGCTTGCATCATCTTTTGCATATGTAATCAGCAAAAGGATTAACTGTTTGAGATACTCCCTCTTCTACAACACCAACATTTCAGAAATCAAATACTTAACTTGAATTGCAAACACCTAAAAGGAACTTCCTCATTTCATAATGTAAGAACCAAGCAGTGCAGGAAGCTGCTGTGAGATTTACATATTGACACATGCAGTTTAAGTGAGTTTCCAACAACCTGCAGTTTTTTGACAAGCTCTCAGTCTCATGTTATTTACAGGTTCTAAGGAATCTGGTTCAATTTAGCTTGTACTTATACATCACAGTATTTGAATTCTAATGGCTTCACTACTACATTTTACAGTAATTTGTGGGAAAAAAGAGGAATCAGATTTTTGAGCATCAAGGCATCATATTCCAGAGACACTGGCCACTGCATTGTCTAAAGTTTAGGTATGATCAAGATTGCCAAGATGTACAGGCACACAGAACATAAACACTAATTTGCATGTAAGGGTAGGCCATGACAGCTGAAATTAAGGCTGTCAATTCCTATTCTTGCAATTTACAGTGTAACAGAAGAAAATATGCTTGGTTTGAAACCTTAACCTCCCAACACATATAAAGGAATGTCAAACTGTACATCTCCTTTCTAAGCTTTCATACCCCTAGTCTAGACGAGCTTTGCTGATGTGTACCCCACCATCTTTCTGTTCTTGTGGGTACCACCTCCTCCTCTTATTCCTCCTGCCCTGTTCACAGGCACTGATCTCCCTGGCAGGCACCACATCAGGACTTCTCAAATGAAGACAGGGATCTGAAAAGTGTCCTAGTGGGGAACAAGTCTCCGGGGCATGGACAGCATATGAGAGCCCAGGGAGCACAATTCTCATTTTTCCTTGCTTCCAGGCTACTTTCCAACTTGTCAGGAGAGGACACCCACGTGCACATACTTGGAGAAGAGATTAGTAACTGCAGCATTGAACCAAGTATTCTAAATGAAACTAACTGAAAACCACAGCTATTAACAACCAGAGTGGGAAAAAACATCCTGGGTATGAACTCTGAACACCAGAAAGCTGATGAGACTGCCTGGTCAGAGATGGTTTACCTTATGACTTTTGTAGTGCACAGCTTTCTTCATTAGTTCAAAAGTGCAGCAGTATTATATTTACTACTGTTTTTTACTAATAGCTTACTTACTAATGAACTCAAACTCTGGATGTGAAGAGCCAAACAGTGAAACATTCAGCTGAAGATGGGCATTTATTTTAGCTAAATCAAGACTGGGAGAAAGGAGTTCAGCAGAGAATAACTAACTGTCCCAGATGAATTTACTCCATGACCACAGAAGACAGATGCTACTAAAAACAAACAGTTGCAGATCACAACTGAACTACACACACCAGAAAAATCCAAATAAACCTGTCTCCTTAGTTGCATAAAGTTGGAAGGGGCACTTAGTCAAGGACTACTACAGAGAGATCACTTCAGATTTCTCCTTGATGTGCATTTATGACAAGAAAAGCTACAGAGTTAGATTGCAACATTAATAAGAAACAAGTTAATCTTTAACTACTATATTTGTGTAGCTGGACCCTACATATCACATGCATTACACTGTAAAGACTGAGAGCCTGTATTACAAATGGGTTCTGTGGAATTTGGGTATTCAGGGAAAGCAAGTATTTAGGGCAATGAAAACCTGTTTTATGAAGAGACTAGATGGATTTTTATTATTTAGCCCTGAAAGGAGAAAAATGTTTCAAAATCATCTAGAAAATAAATTATTAACAGAGTAAGTATACTAGAAACATGCACTGTCTGATTATAAAACCAGGAAAGCTTAAAGATGTCAAATTTTAAAGTATAAAAAAGAATTCTATTAAAAATTATGAAAATTGATACTTCATGTACTGCATAAATGGAGGAATGATGCTACGGATGATAAGAAATTTATTAAGACTTAAACATGGGTTAGACAGGCACTTGGACAAAAAGAATATCCAAGAATATGTTGAATTAGTACAGTTTTTTCATGCCAAAAAAGTGCTGAACCAAAAGGAAGATAAAAACCTAACAAGTCAGGATTTAAACTGATTTCTAATATTAAAAATTTTAAAAATGCTTTTATGAACGGAGAAGATTATATCCCATGTAATTTTTGGAGATTTCAGTAGTGTTTTGAGGTATCTACTGATCTTCCCCTGAAGGTATCTTGAAGCCAGGACGCTACAGATAATGCTAACTCCTGTAATCCCTGTTAATTAAAGTGACCATCAATGCTGTGCATTCAGAGCACAAGCTGTTAGTTACCTCCCCTCCCACCTGCCTAGAATCAAATAAAATATAATTGTCTTCCAACAGTTCTCATCTCATCTTCTTCACTTTTTCGTATCCTCCCCTTGGTATGTCTGTGGTCTGTCTGCTCTATTTTGCTTCCCTCCATCTTTTCCTATCTGCTGTCTGATTTACCCCCGTGAATTTTAGCGCACCTCCTAAAGATTAGGCTCTGCTCCTTGGTTTCTCCTCACTCACACAAGCCATGGAGCTTTCCCGCTCTGCAGACAGGCTGCTTTTTGTCTCCCAAGGCAGACTGGAGAAAAGAAAGGTGCAGATCCTTTCCCAAACGC